TCAAGTTTGGCCGTTGCTTTGTCGATAAAATCGGCGCGCCGAATTAAATTTTCGGCGGCGGCGGAATCGGCGGATGATAATAATTTATCGGCGGTGGCGACGTGAAGCGGCGGCGCAGGAGTCTAGTTACGTGATTGAATAGCGGCAACATGAAAAGGTACCTTAAAGTATCACCGTTACATCTGTGTTCTGAAACTCATCAAAATAAGGAATGCTAACTTTTCTTACTACCTGGTGTCTATAAAGAATAGACCCGTAAAATTATCTCGTCTCTCAAATTATCTTTTATCTTAAATTGAGAAGAGAGTACAAGTCGATGTGTCGTAAACGAGAGTCGCGAAAGTATCATTTTCTAGATGGGAACGAGAAACAACGAGGGACTGAAATGCACTTATATTCTTTTGACATACTCCAAGGCATCCTATGATTGATTGTAAAGAACGAAGTCTATAGATCCCTCAGAATCAGCTGTTGAACATCGCACGTGTTTTCTTTTATTTTGTTGAGTCAGCAAATCGCTTATCGTGACATCGAGTTTAATTGAATAATGAAAGAGCGTGATTGCGTGATTCACTGTTTATTAACTAAGTATGGCCAAGAAAAACAGCGTTGTGTGAAAGAAGAGATCAAAGAAACGAGACCTTGAAGAATCATTTTACAGAAAATTGCTTCGATAATATACGGCTTCGTTTTAATATTTAACGTAAAGCGATAGAAGTGAAGATAGAATAGTGAAAAGTACGATATTCAGCGATGGAAGTTCTTTAAACGTCTGCTGTTACTATTAATAGATAAAATACATATGTTAGAACAAAATCTACACATTAATTTCGTAAGTAGAAATTGTAGGATAAAATTGTAGTACGATGTGATGTAATATGAAACGTTCCGAACATTCATTCTAAACGCGATATTTAATTGATATTTATATATTCTTTGTTACTCTTAGATTATTTTTTCAAATTAGTATTTTCATTAGTATTTTTTACAGAATTGTTGACATAATTTTTTAAATCTTTGCTTTATAATATTTATTAATAATTTTTTTCTTAATATTTTTATTTTATTTATAATAAAATTATTTCTTCTTTTTCTTGTTCATAAATATTTTTTACTAATTAAGTATATATTCTAATGCAATTTGTAGTACAATTATATTGTCATCTGTGAAAATATTATTTTACTTATGTATACATATTCAACATACATTGTTGTAGATATAATTACACTTTATCTTATGACTTTTAAGTGTATAATTGTACTTTATCTTTGTCATAACTTTTAATGATTTCTAATAATATGTAATTTTATGCATGGATATTTTTATTTTTAATATTTATAAAATGATACAAAAATGTCTAATATGTTATTACAAAATAAAAATGAATCACTTTATTTATATATAAATTATAAAAAATGAAAAATAAAAATGGGATATTAATTATTTTATTAAAATATGTACAAAAATTGTTTAAGAAATATATAAAGTAAAAAATATGCATATTAAAAAAAAACTGATTTAAAATATTTATTTTTATTCATTTTTCTTTCATTAAAGATAACTGTATTCTGAAAATATAATCTGTCAACACATTCAATTGGTTATATCTTATCAAGAGACACTATAATGTCTCCTATATATCATACACTGTAGTACATCTAAGTTTCATTAGCACCAACATTAAAACCCTGAGTTTTCTAATAATTATTATTTAAGAGCATTTTTATTAAGCTGTGTATATTAAAAGGGTTTCTAATTTTAAGACATAAACTTAGTGTATTTTATCTGTATATTATGTCCTAGTTTTTATATTTTTCATTATGTATATAATTAGCATTATTATAATATTAACCTCAATATAAATACAAGATTTAAAAATATCTTCATATTTTGTGTTATGGATAGAATTATGTACAATATATTTTTAATATAAACATTCAATTACATGTTTCTTTTTATTTATGCAATAGGTCGGTAATTTGTGTTGTATATTGATGCTTTGTACGAGTATTGAAATTTGTATTATTGAGATTTGTATAACAAATTTTCAATCCTTTAAATGTAGAAGAAGATAGTACGAAACATTTTTTTAATGGATCGTTTTAAGAAATTTTTTATCAAAAGGTAATTTTATTAAAGTTATTATTATTGATTATTAGAGATATATTATTACATATAAATATTGTTTATTGTGAAATAGTGATAATTATATTGTTAAGTAAAGCTAGAGTAGTTTTAAAAATATATGTTTTGAAGTTTTCACCATGTCTTCTTTTTCTTGTTCATAAATATTTTTTACTAATTAAGTATATATTCTAATGCAATTTGTAGTACAATTATATTGTCATCTGTGAAAATATTATTTTACTTATGTATACATATTCAACATACATTGTTGTAGATATAATTACACTTTATCTTATGACTTTTAAGTGTATAATTGTACTTTATCTTTGTCATAACTTTTAATGATTTCTAATAATATGTAATTTTATGCATGGATATTTTTATTTTTAATATTTATAAAATGATACAAAAATGTCTAATATGTTATTACAAAATAAAAATGAATCACTTTATTTATATATAAATTATAAAAAATGAAAAATAAAAATGGGATATTAATTATTTTATTAAAATATGTACAAAAATTGTTTAAGAAATATATGAAGTAAAAAATATGCATATTAAAAAAAAACTGATTTAAAATATTTATTTTTATTCATTTTTCTTTCATTAAAGATAACTGTATTCTGAAAATATAATCTGTCAACACATTCAATTGGTTATATCTTATCAAGAGACACTATAATGTCTCCTATATATCATACACTGTAGTACATCTAAGTTTCATTAGCACCAACATTAAAACCCTGAGTTTTCTAATAATTATTATTTAAGAGCATTTTTATTAAGCTGTGTATATTAAAAGGGTTTCTAATTTTAAGACATAAACTTAGTGTATTTTATCTGTATATTATGTCCTAGTTTTTATATTTTTCATTATGTATATAATTAGCATTATTATAATATTAACCTCAATATAAATACAAGATTTAAAAATATCTTCATATTTTGTGTTATGGATAGAATTATGTACAATATATTTTTAATATAAACATTCAATTACATGTTTCTTTTTATTTATGCAATAGGTCGGTAATTTGTGTTGTATATTGATGCTTTGTACGAGTATTGAAATTTGTATTATTGAGATTTGTATAACAAATTTTCAATCCTTTAAATGTAGAAGAAGATAGTACGAAACATTTTTTTAATGGATCGTTTTAAGAAATTTTTTATCAAAAGGTAATTTTATTAAAGTTATTATTATTGATTATTAGAGATATATTATTACATATAAATATTGTTTATTGTGAAATAGTGATAATTATATTGTTAAGTAAAGCTAGAGTAGTTTTAAAAATATATGTTTTGAAGTTTTCACCATTTTAAATATAAAATATCTAATGTATATTTCATATAAATGCATATATATATATATATATATATGTATAAACATAAGATATTAATTTTTTGTAGACAAACTGAACTACCTATTGACGATTTAGAGACTGAACTTGAAAGAAAAGAACGATGGAGGAGTGTTTACATGATTTATTTTACTATGTTCTTGATGTCACTTGGTTTCAGTATTATACTTACTGGAGTTTGGCCATACTTAGGCAAGGTATGTAGTATACATGACCAAGATATGTATTGATAATAAAGTTACTAAAAAAATTACAGTTACATATATTTAAATATGCTTATGGATGTTTCAGCTGGACCCTACTGCAGGAAAAGAATTTATGGGTTACGTAGTGGCAGCCAATCCACTTGGACAAATGTTGTTTTCGCCTTTGGTAGGTTGGTGGGGTAATAAAAGAGGATCAGTAAGATTGCCGCTTTTAGTAACTTTAGCACTGTTTACTATCGCATCAGCAGCTTATAGTATTCTTGAAATGATACCTGGTGATAAAAAGAGTTACATGCTTGTTGCTAGGTTTTTCGTTGGCGTTAGTTCCGGTAAGTTCTCTTTTCTAATTTTTATATCATATTAATATATATTTTGATTTTGAATTAATTGTAAATATATTTTATATTTTGCAGCTAATATTGCTGTAGCAAGATCTTATCTGTCTGCAGCTACAAAACTTTCAGAACGCACACATGCAGTTTCTATGGTATCTCTAGCACAGGTAATGTTTTGTTATTATATTTTTATATTAAAAGATAATATAAACATAATATATAGATCAAAAAATTATATTGTAATTTTTTTAATGTTATATTTATTAATTTAATACAATAGATCTGTTCTTTATTCCTGCATTGCCTGAACTGATTATTGTATATAGTGCAATAAGTTGAAATGAAACGTAATTCAACTTATTACTCGGTGTGCATCAGTTCAGATACTGCGGGAATAAAGAACAGACCAAATAATGATGACAATAATAATGAAATAATTTAATATTGTCTTACTAATAAAATTTGTACACTTTTATAAACAATATAACTAAATGTATATTGATTGAATACTTACATGTGATAAGAAAGCAATATATTTTATAGGTTCTAGGTTTTGTGGTAGGTCCTGGATTGCAGGCTGCTGTAACACCTCTTGGAGATCATGGTGTAACATTTCTTATGCTACCTTTAAATATGTACACAGTAGCTGGTTGGATTAATGTAATAATGGGAATTTTTAATTTTATCTTTTTATTACCATGGAATTTTAAGGAACATAAAATTGCAATAAAAGAAGCAATGCGTAATGAAGGTAAAACTACAGGTATGTGATAAATTCATAATATTTCTGTGACTAATCTTTAAATTTGATATTATATAAAGAATTGTAATAATTCATAAAATGGATTAATTTCATTCCACTTTTATACTACATATAAATATATCTTGTCTTAGATGTTTTATGATTTTATTTCTAACTCTCTATCAAGTTTTATTATATATATATATATACCGGGTAGGGCAATAACTTTGTCCACCTTGAATATCTTCGCTATTTTTAGAGATATGAAAATATTGTTATTACAAAAGTTGTAGGGCATCAAGAGAACTATAACATATGTTAGTCATAATTTTTTTTAGGTGGAGGCGCTTCTGAGATTTCAAGGTCAACTTCATTTTTTTAAATGGAATTATATGAATTTTTTTTCACTATATGATTCCCCTAATTATTCTGTACATAAAAGTATTAAGGTGGAGATATAAAAAAACCAATAGTTTACGAGATGTTTTACACATTCTTTTGGTGCATATTGACAAAAAATGTTTAATAATTCGTGAACTATTGACTTTTTGATAATCGTACCTTAATGCTTTTGTAAACAGTATAATGAGGTGAATCAATTGGTGTGAAGAAAACACATAGTTGCTTATTTCTAATTATCCATTTTGCAAACATATTTTTTTATAGCAACTATGCGTTTTCTTCACACCAATTGATTCATCTCATTATACTGTTTACAAAAGCATTAAGGTACGATTATCAACAAGTCAATAGTTCACGAGTTATTAAACATTTTTTGTCAATATGCACCAAAAGAATGTGTAAAATATCTCGTAAACTATTGGTTTTTTTATATCTCCACCTTAATACTTTTATGTACAGAATAATTAGGAGAATCATATAGTGAAAAAAAAATCATATAATTCCATTTAAAAAAATGAAGACCTTGAAATCTCCAAAGCGTCTCCACCTAAAAAAATGATGACTAGCATATGTTATAGTTCTCTTGATGCCCTACAACTTTTGTAATAACAATATTTTCATATCTCTGAAAATAGCGGAGATATTCAAAGTGGACAAAGTTACCCGGCATATACACACTATAAAATAGAATTCACTGCATTTGCAGAAAAAGAAACGTGGAAAGCTATAAAACCAGACTATTTAGCTGCATGGACTTTAATTTGTGGATTCTTTGTTTTGGTTTTTAATTTTGTTCTTCTTGAGACGTAAGTACATTTATTTACTGATTATAACAAAAAAAGCATTAAAGAGTGAATAATTGAAAATGAAACAAGAGAAAAAAATAACTGAAAAATTATAATATTCTATTTAAGAAAGCAAAACTAAGAACTAGATTTAAATGCTTTAATATCTGTTATAAAATAATGTTGAAATTATGATCATCGATTAAAATCTTGGTTTACCAAATAAAAATTTTGTTAACAAATATGTGTCATATTTTTTGTGTAGTCTTGGTACTTCTCTTACTATGGATCAATTTGCTTGGACTAAAAAGGAAGCGCTATATTATATGGGAATACTAATGAGCGTTGGAGCTGTGATAGCTTGTATTACATTTACTATGATTGGACCACTTTGTAAAAAGTAATTATATTTTGCAATTATAATTACTTTAAGATAAATAGCCAATAAGTAAGAATATTATTTTACCGCTTTTATATATATAACGTTTGATGATGACGTACAAGTAGGTAATATCTTTTACTTTATATGCTATATTATAATAAATAAAGTATGTACTTCTTTATATTGTAGATTTGCGGAACGAAAAGTAACGTTATGGGGTGGATTCTTCTTTATGATGATTGGACGAGTATTATGTATTCCATGGGGTCCAGATCCTCCTATAATTGGAGATTTTGGACGTGAGTATCTCTCTACTAAATAAAAAATATTTTTAAAACTATATTTTTATTAACTTAAATTTTTTATGTATATTATATGACAATTTTATAATAGAAGTGCTTCAATATCTTGTAGCATATAATAATATCACGACAGATGCCAATGGTACAGAAATCGTAGGATGCCCTATTACTCAAGAATGGTGCCTATATACTCCACAAATTACGATTACTCAATTTTTGATTGGTTACGCCTTTACATCTATAGGTTATCCTATAGGAGTTACCTTGATGCAAACAATATTTAGCAAAATTCTCGGTCCACGTCCACAAGGCGTATGGATGGGTTTAATGACAGGTGCGGGTTGTGCGTCTCGCGTTTTAGGTCCAGTATTTGTAGGCTTCATTTATACTCGTTTAGGAACATATCATACTTTTGGTATCACTGGCGTAATGATAATCATTTCCATGTTGTGGTTACAACTTGTAAATAAGCGTTTGATTGCACCAGAGTTAAAGAAAGACAATGAAGCGCCAAACAAACAAGAAAAAGATGTCGAAATTCCATTAGTTCATTTAAGATCTGATAATACTCAAACATCGCGTGAAGCTGTATAGTTAACGAAATCATCAATTCGATTGTGATAATTCAAGTTGTAACTTGATAGAGAAAATTACTTTTTGTGCAATGTGCAGTAAATTTTACATAAACATTATTTAATTAACAATGCAAATTAATTTATATTTTTATATACTGTATATACAAATTACTATTACATTTTTTAAATGTATAAATATTTTATAAAAATTTTATGCAGTTACATGCTAAATATGATCAAAAAATAAATGCCTTACTCAGAATAATTATAAATATAATAATAATCAGATAATAATAATTAAGAGAATGTTCATAAAATGCTCAAAACTTTTTAGTGATACAATTTGTTTAAGTTTTATTAAATTTTTTATATAAGTTCACAAATTGACTAATGTTATATTAATTATATTATAATATCATACTATAATATGATTAATTATAATATGACATTAAATGTTAATGAGACTTGGATTATGAAGTCGAAGAAGACTTGCCATATATAATGCAAATGGTATTCATAAACTATTCTTCCAGTATTTTTTGCTTGAAGAGAAGTTATAATTTTGAAATATTGCACTTTTAGTTTTTATTAGTATTAGGACTATATTTTTAATACTATAGTAATAATATTTACAATTATTAGTATTAGAACTATATTTTTAATACTATAGTAATAATATTTAAAAGCTTAATATTTTTAAGAAGATTAATACGTGTGCATATACAGATAAATACTAACGTACAAATTGTAAGTTTTATATATACTGAAATCTAATTCTTCAAGCATTTTTATTGATTGCAAAATATTAGAAAATAGCACAGAAAAGTAAATATCCTTATCAAATTATATTCTATACGCATTTTTGTATACTTATGTTGTTTTATATATTAAAATTACATATTTACCATTTTTAAATATTAAATTAACATTATGATTATATCTAAAAATCCAAATAATGTACAAATTTATAATATAATAGCATGTAAGAGCGCCATTATATTTTCTGAAATGTAGACTTATCCTGTTTAGCTGAATTTCTTCCATGGTTTATTTTTCCTCTTTTTCTTTTCATGTTAGAGACGAAAGGAAAAGATGAATTGTGCAAGAAGTTCAGCTAAAAAGGATTTAGTTTAAGAAAATATATATATAATATACATATATACAAATATACATTAGACCGTAATATAAATAGCAGGTGATATGAAATTTGATTGTGTACTAAGCAATTATCAAAGACTTATTAATGAATTGAATTCTTTTTCAAAAATATTTTGTTACTAGTATAATACCGTAATTTTACATAGCACATAGCTATATCCTATATCACAACTACGGTCTAAACACCCACGCGCACGAAAACACTGTTCACGCACTAAATGGCAAAGCATAAATTTAATGATATTGTTATGGTATTGGAACGCGGTCTTTCCGCCTTGTTTTTCGCGTGAATTAGACCATAGTCGTGTGATTTTAGACCCTAGTTATGTGAAATTACGGTAATCATTTTTGCTCAAAATACATTTGATGTTGGAATGTTTATGAGATTGTTGTAACATTTATAAATTGCATAGTTTGTTAGTTGCTTACACAAGCTTAACGTAAATGCAACATAAATCAATGCAAGAGTGTAAAAGAGGTACAGTCTGCTTTTTACTTTTTCGTGTAGCTTAAAGAGCAAAGACTGACCTAACTAAAATTTTATAAAATTGTTTTATCTTAAGAAATGAATAGTTGATATTACACAGCAATAGGTATTACTGCTAATTACTGTTTAACTTTTTTAATGAATATTTCAAAAGATAATATTGTAAAAAATAATACAAAAGACAATAATGATAAAAACAATTTACATTTATCTTTATCAAGTTATAATTAAATATATTTTAAAGAATAACTGTCTTGAATGAAATAAATGAAATAAAAACTTGATATAGTAAATCTTAAAATATAATTGACATTATAAAAAGAAATATGAGCTATACATATTTTTAAAGTGCAATTAAATTATAAATACATAAGCCAAGGCTTAATATTAAAAAAATGTAATATTGTAAGATAATATATAGGTAACTCTAAAAATTTTTGTAAGATGACATATATGTTCAACATTTTATGCAAATTTTTTTTATATTCGACAAAATAACAAAATATTTGAATTGTAAAAAAATTGTCAACATTGCAGAAATGACAATCAAAAGTTAATGGCTGTAATATCTAGTACAATAATGTTTTCATCACATAAAAAGTATATGAAATTAAAAGATTAATATATTTCTTATGAAATAATAAAGAATTATTTTATTTATGTATTTATATATATGGAAATTTTCAGTGTTACCTACATATATATAGGTATATTTTCTAATATTTCAATGATAAATAAAACTGTGTATGTGGTATTTACATTATTACATTTTAACTAATGAAAATAAAAGTTACAATAAATAATTTGTATTACCCTTCTTTGTAAATACCAATTCTTTTCTAGTTTATTTTAACAATAACGAAAATTATTAGAATACACTAATACATAAATTTCTCAATACTCGATACAGACAATGATAAATTAAATCGGTTGTCAAATATTAAATTTGCATTTTTATTTTTTATTATAGTAGAAATTATTTAACTATCTCTTCTTACATTCTTTTTATTTGTAACATACGTGAATACAATAAAATCTTTAATTCTAAAAAAAAAAGCTGTCAAAAAATGACACATTATGTAAACATATAGATTCTCATAAATGCTGTGCTATCACTTATAAATGCTAATGATACGATAAGAGTGCATGATTACCATGGATTATAAAAATGATTAATACATGTCTTTTCTTAACATGAATTGTAGAAATGCGGATTATTCATACAAATAGTCATAGAATTATAATTAATCTTTCTTCTTTGGTTTCTTAGGATTACGCGATCGCGATTTTGCTTTGCAGAGTGGACAAATTGGTGCATTCCTATGAATTTGTTGATGGCACGAAAGACAAGACTTCATTGGCGGTGGTTGTTGCCTGCAAAACGATAGAGATATTGTATTACAAAAATACGAAGTAATTTTTTTCAATTTTACATAAAAAATATAATAAGGGGACGAGATATACCAGTGGTACCTGAATGTTGGAGCGGGTGGCCCTGGGGCTGGCGGTAATGGTCTGGGCTCTGGTTTACTCGGCCCTTGAAGTGGTTGTGGAGCTAGAAAAGGTGTAGAACTACCTGGATGCCCAGGATGGTGTAGTCCAAGTGGTGGTAACAAGTCATCACCTCGTACCTCTACTCTCCATTCTGCCTTTTGCATTGGGCGTTCAAAGTAACTATGAACAAACCGTCTACACAATAAAAGTTTGACTCAGCTCAGTCTATAATGTTAATCTCCACTTATTGGTTGTTACTAGATGCAACTCTCTACTGTTGATCTTCATGATAATAAAGATACTTACTCAGGAGAGATAAGATCCGACTCAGTCTCGTACAATTCTGGTAATCTCTCCAAACCCAAGAATTCTCTGCGCATACGGTCAATATCATGTTTCAGCGGTTGATAATCATTGTTATGTATCAGTTTAGCAGTTTCCCTCGCCCTGTTACGTGCTTCTTCTGCTTGTTTGATCACTGACTCCATCTAATTAAGAGTAAGCTTTATTATTAATGATTCCATGTAGTTTCAATATGTTCCATATAATTATATTGTGGTTATATTTCAAAATTCACTGCCATGTTTTTTTTAGCTGAATTTCTTGCATAATTTAATTTTCTCTTTTTTATGTTGGAGAGAGAAAGAGAAAGGATAAACTATGCAATAAATTCAACTAAAAAGAACAAATTAGTAACAAAACTATAGTCCTGAAATATAGATTTTTAATGTACAATATATCCTCTAGAAAGCACATAGATAAACTATAGATTTTTAACTGGTAATCAATTTTGAAATGCAGTCTCTATCTTTGGGTCTGCTTTTTATTCCTGCACTAAAAGACTGCATTAAAACTTTTTCTTACTTCGGCTTAATATCAAACATATACCTATTTTACTTTAAAAGTGCATACTAGGTATAAAAAACAGATCTTTGCTTATGGAAACAAAAACCAAGCAATTCACCGCATTAATGTCTGCATGTATCTGGCGTAATTCTTCTACATGTGCCATTTTCTCTTGCATCAACAAGTCCATCTCCTGCTTGTATTCTAATAAACATTTCTCCTCCTGTTCGGTCTGTTCCACTTCTTGCAATATCCTCTGTTTCAGTTTCTCTAATTGAAGGGTCTTGGATCTGCAAGGAGCACAAAAAATGGAACATCCAGTCAAATAAATTTCTTATGCAATGTATGAAAGAACAAGTGTCAAAGGAAACTGCATCCTTATACCTAATGTCTTTTAAAGCTTCCAATTTTGCAAAAATCACTGCCGTTTCAGACGCCGACATGCCGGAGATTAATCCTCGTAATTTACGATTGCTTAGAGTTTCACGGAATTTCAACAGCGATTGCCACCGAACTCGAGTTCGACTACTGCATATTCAAATTCAATATCGGAGCGATTAACGCGATTAGCGAGAAACAAAAAACGCGTTTCACAGGAAGGGAGTTACTCCGGAAGTAACGCGCGATTAAAAGGCTTTCGTGAACCGGGACTTTGGCGAAGCTGTTTGACAGAATTATCAAACAGCAGTCGCGAGAACACAGCGGACTCGGTTCATCAATCGCTTTTTTTTCTTTTCATCCGCGTAAGATAGCAAACTTGAAATCTGTGCAACGAGATGAACGCGACGCGCCATCTGGGATGCTGAGGCTCGTAATCTCGACAGGCGCTCTAATTCAATTTTCCATGATTTTTTTCACGCATCCTGCAATCTTCGGATGATTTGCGATTCGCAAAATTAACAATGGAATTCCACTTAATTTCGTGTAATTTTATTTAATTCTATTAAATATTACAAAGATTGAAAAATCGCGTGTATGTATAAATGAGATACGCACATTGAAATGCAAATCGAGACAGCAAAATGTGCGGTTTA